GTAAGGCAGAAGGAGAGGGGAGTGGAAGACAGGCATGCAGGGGATCTGTGCCTGCCTTACAGTGGCGTTGGGGGCCAACGGGTACACTTTGCCTGCAGCTGCCTCTCCTGCCTTCAGGTCCAGCTCGGCCCTGGAGAATGGGGAGGTGGCCTAGTGCACACCAGTCTTGCCACGTGAGGGGAGGGGACAGTCGGGAAGGTGTTCTCTGTGTCCCCTTCCAGCTCTTACTGTTAAAGTCTGTCACTGCCAGGTTGGTGCTAAAGCACTTTTTATGTTTCCCTCATTCTTTCCTAATTTTTTAGAAAATAAATTGAAATATTAAGGGAAAGCACCGTGGTATTGCAAAAGCTTTGTGGGCTTTTTGGACTCTGAGAGATATGCACACGCGCCTGTCCCTTTTGAGGCCCTCAGAAGGTGGGATGGGTGCTTTAGTGTGCATTCACAGGCACTGCCTGCTTTCCCTGTATAGTGCTGTCAGTCAGCATAAATTAATTATAAGCTGTTGTAAGTTTGTTTCGCTTGCTTCTTCTTAAATGCAGTTCCGTAGTTTGTTTACTGCTGTATTCCTAGTGTTTAGTGCAGAGCATTTACTCAAAAATGACAATTTTCTTTAGGGTTTTACTGTATTTGAAGCATGTATTGAGATTTGCAGGGTGCTGTACTTATTTTCTTTCCCCTAATCCTCATAAGAATTCTGTTGTTATCTCCAGCTTTTAGGTGATAAAATGAGACTTAGGCAACTTGCGGCCACATGAACTCAGCCAGTGAAGGCGCTGGGATTTGAAATCTGGTCTTCTGACCTCAGGGCCCAAGCTTTCAATATTAAGTGTACTCTTTACCTAGAGAGTAGAAAAATTTTTACATTTTGTATGATACTAATCTTTAAATATTAAGACTGCCTATGTTATTGTGGTGTGAATTAAAAATGTGCATGCGGGAGAAGATGGTGACCATGTGGGATGAAGCTGAGTGAGGTGGAATCGGGGAGGAGGTACTCAAGATGTCCACAGAGGAGATCATCCAGCACACATGGCTGCTGGACGGCAAGATAAAGATAATGAGAAATGAAGTGTTGCGAGTCACCCATGAGCTTCAAGCCATGAAAGACAAGATCAAAGAGAACAGTGAGAAAATCAAAGTGAGCAGGACGTTGCTGTATCTCATCTTCAGTTCACTGAGCTGCTGCACGTTGACCCTGATGACCAGGAGGAAGAGGGTGCCAATACTGACCTGGACTTCCAGAGGAAGGGCAAGTGTGTGGTGATTAGAACCTCCTGCGTTGGATGTACTTCCTGCCTGTGATTGGGTTGGTGGATGCTGAACAGCTGAAGCCGGGAGACTTGGTGGGTGTGAACAAAGATTCCTAGCTGATCCTGGAGGCTCTGCCTACAGAATATGGCTCATGCATGAAGGCCGTGGAGGTGGATGAGAGGCCTACAGAGCAGTATAGTGACACTGGTGGCCTGGACAAGCAGATTGAGGAGCTGGTGGAGGCCATTGTCTTGCCAGTGAACCACAAGGAGAAGTTTGAGAATGGGGATCCACCCTCCAAACGGGGTGCTGATGTATGGGCTGCTGGGGACTGGGAAGATGCTTCTGGCCCAGGCCTGTGTGGCGTAGACCAAGGCCACCTTCCTGAAGTTGGCTGGGCCCCAGCTTGTACAGATGTTCATCAGGGACGGGGCCAAATTGGTCCAGGATGACTTCGTGCTGGCCAAGGAGAAAGCGCTGTCCATCATCTTCATTGACAAGCTGGATATCATTGGCACCAAGTGCTTTGACAGCGAGAAGGCCTGGGACTGGGAAGTGCAGAGGACCAAGCTGGAGCTCCTAAACCAGCTGGACGGCTTCCAGCCCAACACCCAAGTCAAGGAGATCACCGCCACCAACAGGGTAGATATCCTGGACCCTGCCTTGCTCCTCTCAGGCTGCCTAGACCAAAAGATCAAGTTTCTGATGTCCAGTGAGGAGGCCTGGGCCCGAATTATGCAGATCAACTCTCGGAAGATGAATGTCAGCCCGGACACGAGCTACGAGGAGCTGGCCTGCTGCACTGATGACTTCAATGGGGCCCAGTACAAGACTATATGTGTGGAGGTGGGCATGATCGCCCTGCTCAGGGGTGCCACAGAGCTGACCCGCGAGGACTACATGGAGGGCCTCCTGGAGGTGCAGGCCAAGAAGAAAGCCAACCTGCAGCACTATGCCTAGGCTGCTGCCAACTGCCTCGCAATAAATGGCCCTGTCTGAAAAGAAAACAAACAAACAAAAAAAAAAACAAAACAAAAAACCAGAAGTACAACTAATCATTTTGTTGATGCTCACCATATGTATTGCTATCTTCCTCATTTATTATTTTGGTGATAAGTCATGGTAGCTGGATGGCTAAGTTATCTCATGGGATCACCTGTGCTTTAAAAAGTTTGAGAGTCATTGTTTAAAAGAATATGTGAATTTTTGAGGTTTTTAAAAAGTTCTCATTTTATGGAACTTTGAATTTATGATATTTCAGGCTATGTTGGAATAATTCTTTTTTTTTTGAATTCTAACTTCACACTAACTGTCATAGTTACCATATACAATTTTTAGGAGTGGTACTGGGGACTTCATATTGAGCTGCATTTCCCTCTTCCCCACCACACCCCTTTGAATTTTTTTTTTTTTTTTTTTGTATTTTAGAACAAGGTCTACAGGGTCTCACTGCGTAGATGGACTTGTAGTGATCCTCCTGATTACAGCCTCCCAAGTGCTGGGATTACAAGCATGCACCATCATGCCTGGTCTCAATCTTGTCTCAGTGCGCCCCAGGGACTGGGCTGGCATGGCAGGCCCAGGGATTGAACTCCTGGCCCCTGCATCTGCCTAAGCAGGTGCTTTCATCTGCTGAGCTATTTGGCCAGCCCTGAAAAAAATTTTGAGGTGGGGTCTTATCAAGTTGCTAAGCTGCCCAGGCTGGTTTGAACTTGTGATTCCCCTGCCTCAGGTTTCCAGAGTGCTGGCATTACAAGTATGTGCCACCATGCCTGGCCACACACACAGTTTTCATGTGCTGAGTTTTGTATTGAAAACGCACTATTTTTATTTTGTAGGTTATAGACGTGATTTGGAGAGAAGATTTATTTTGTTTTTCTCTCTTTTATTTTTTGAGGCTGGGTCTCACTATGTAGCCCAGGCTGGCCTTGAATTTACACCAGTCCTCCTGCCTTAGCCTCCTGAGTACTGGGATACAGGTGTGCTCCATGATGCTCTGTCGGTGCATTTATTATTTATCACGTAGTGGCCTCCACATTTCAAAACAATCTTCTTAAATATTATATTTTAACAGAATTAATTTTACCAACACATTAAATTGATTTCAGGAAGTATGTGTTACTCAGTTTATTTACTAAACCTATTTCTAATGGATAATTCTATTTCTTTTTTGCTTTTAGGCCCGTTTTCTGCTTTCCAAAGTCAACCCTTCACAGACTCATAATAATATGTATGCCTGGGGACAGGTAAGTGTAAAAGCCTTCAGAAATTATTTCTTTGTGTTTTCATAGTTTATTTTTGTGAGGCTGTGTTTTTTCCTGTGTATACAGTGATTTCTGTTGGAAAAGTAATGAAAAATAAGAGTAGAAAATAGAATTAGTATTGGGTGACACCATAGAAAATAAGAAAGTGATCCTATCAAATAGAACTTCCCATCTAAAGTTTAACACCTTACCCTTGAGACAAAAAGCAATAAAGTATGTAAGACGGGAAGTGATGATTCAAGCTTAATGTGAGGCTGTGCACTAGAAAAGACTAATAAGCCAGGACAGGCCAGGGGCTGTCGCTGAGCGCAGCGGCCGGAAACCTGCAAGCCGTTATTGACAGCTTTAATTGGGTAGAAATCGCAGCTCTCGCTGTAACACCTGGGCACTTATCAGATGTCTGCTCTGCGCTGGACGCTGCGTTGGTGCTTTAGGGTGTGCGATCATCACCCTTGCCTTTAGGAGCTTGTCATCTGGTGTTAGCGATAAGATGTGTGTATGTGTGTGTAGGTAAAGTGCAATGTGCAAGAAGATGGTACTGTCCCTAAAGTGTAAAATAACGGGCTAGAAAAAGAAAAAGAAGAGGTCACATTGAGGGTGTGTGGTCGTAGGAGAGCTCAGGAAAAAGGCATGTTTGGTGTGGAGATTGATTATTATTTCATTAAGAAGTTGCACAAGAGAGGGACTTCTAGATAGCAGCCAGTTTGGGCCAGGTAATGGTGGATATGCACCAGTGAACAGCAGGGTGTGAAGCTGAAGTATGTTACGTGTCTACATGGGAGAGCTCTCAAACGCTGGGTTGAGGACCGAAGGTTGTCTCTATTTGGTAATGGAGAATGATTGAAGGTTTTTCGATAGTGGGTCCAGTCACAATCTTAGATTTTTTTCTTGCATTGTAGTTCAGGCTGGGGTTGGACTTGCTGCCTTCTGCCTCCTGAGCCTCTCAGAGTGCTGGGAGAACTGGTGCACCACCACACGCAGTGGTGTATTTAAATTTTAAGATTAATTGGGAGACCTCTGTAGATTATAGCTGTGTTTATTGAAGATGGAGATAAGGGCGGATGAATGCAAGATGGTGAAAAGCAATTTTGGAATATTTCAAAAGCAAATTCCATAGAACTTGACTGGGAGTTATAGAAAGATTTGTTAGTCCAGGATGTGAAAGCTGTGCACAAATCTGACTGAGCCCTTCATTAGAGAGGGAGAATGGGTTATAAGGAATTAGGGATAGTAAAGAAATACACTTTGCAAATGATTCCTTTTAAACTTAGTGTAAGGATATAATAGTATGATAAAAAGGATAATTGTCTTTGGAATAAGAGCACAGAATTATCTGTAGAGCAACTATAAGGAACAAACAGGAAGGAAAAAAAAAATGTCTAAGTTCCTGAGGAGGAGACAGTGTGATTGTAAGACTGCATGGAGTCTGCATGCTGGAAAGGAGGCAGAACATTGCTCTGGCAGCAGCGGAAGGTGAGAAGGATGGCAGAGAAAGGCTTTTGGGCTAGCAAGATACTCATAATTGCATGCTTTGGAGGCTTTTAAATAGAACTTAAGTTCAATTCCTTGATTTTTTTTTTTTTTCAGTAAATAGGTTATTTGTGAGCATTAGAAAGGGTGGGGTTAAGGACTAGAAAATGGAAAAGCTTAAAAACAGCTGTCATGAATATAAGAAATCAGGAGGCGATTAAAAAGATGGCTTTTACACTAATGCTAAGAGCCCCCTTTGAGATAGGGTTGACCGTAGTAGGGGGTGCCCTGGAACTCACTGTACAGCCCCACGCTGGCCTTAAGCTTGCAGCAGTCTTCCTGCTTCAGCCTCCTGAGAGCTGTGATTACAGGTGTGTGCCACCATGCCTGGGTTGGGGTCCATTTTATTTATTAGTAATTTTTAAAGCATGCTTCCGGGGCTGGGGAGATGGCTCAGTAGAACAAGCGCCTCCCTGGCAAGTGCAAGGGCCTGAGTTCAATTCCCGGTTCTGCCAAACAAAAAAAAAAAAATAAGCATGCTTCCATAATGTACTTTAACTGTGCTTTATAGTTCAGGCATTTGATCAAAGATAAAAAAGTTTGATGCTAACTTAGAGTGAGTATGATAAAAAGGGCATGTTAGAAAACAGAGTAATTTTAGATGAGTGTTTTCTATCAGTATGGGTCCAGGCTAGGTAGCAGAGAGGAGTAATAACAGGGATTAAAGTTTCTTCTCTTTGAATATAGGATCACTTCAAGCTTTTGGCCTGATTCTTTATATATGATGTTTTTCTGGGTGAGTGCACCCACTCATGTGACTTCAGTGTTCATCTGAAGGCGGACCTGCCCATCTCTGGCAATTGAGCTGTGGTTTTAGTTCTGGATCACACAGCTTAGGGGGATTTTATAGTAGAGTGAGAAAGACAGAGACACACACACACACACACACACACACACACACACACACACAGAGGAGAGAGCCAGAGACAGAGAGATAGACAGGAAGAGAAAGGCAAAGAAAACACAAAAATACCCGAGACATAAAGGAAAAGATAGTCACCGAAATGGGGAACCGGAAGTTAACAGAGACTTAGGAAACGTGGGAAAGTTCTCGGCAAGGTCACAGTTCGGCTGCTCCGCCTCTGATGAGCACTGCTTGAGCAACTCAGCTAGAACTGAGAGCCTAGTTGCCCAGCCCAGGTAAAGCAGATCTCTCTTGTTTGGCTTTCCACTGAACAACACCCTGCTTTCTTTATCTGCCTGCTGTGCATCCCTTGAATTCGCTGTAGACATTTCACAGAATACCTCAGTCTTACCTCTCTTTTTACCCTGTCTCGTTCTTCCTAAATTGTTGGTGTTTTCCCATTATTACTTTGTGTGCTGGGGTTGAACTCAGGGCCTTTGTGGGTTCCTTTGCCCCGAGCTCCGCCCTCTGCCTCAGTGAGCTCCTACTTCTAAGGTTCAAAGCCACACTGTCTTTCCCTCTGCCTCTGGCTACTCATAAATGTAACCTCCCCCCCCCCCACGTCAAAGTTGGGTCCTTATTAGTTTCACATGGGCTGAAGAGCCCTGTTCTCTGGTCTGCAGCTTCAGCTCTTCTCTCTGTTATGCTTAGTCTTTTTTTTTTTTTCTTTTCAAAGTTTTATTGATAAACATATAGCAATGAGACAGTTTCAACAAATAATACACTGCATATATTCTTCTTAGTGGTTAATTGCTGTACAAGATGCTATGCTTAGTCTTATAAGTTAGTTTTGAAATCTTCAGTAACCCTGCCTTTCTGTTGCTCTGAGGGTCCTTTCTGATATGACCAGAGTTTTTCCAAGTGGTTAGCCACCACTTAGATCCTTCAGCCAAATTGATCTTCTTACTGCAGTTTGAACACACTGAGCATGTCATCTCTGTGGCTGGACTTATGCATTAAAATGTAATTTAATTCATGGAATGAATACTTCATGGAGATGATGATGTCTTTGTAAGTGATAACATGGAAGGGCAGTCGGAAGGCTTGTGAGAGAAAGAGCTCATCTGTGGGTGAATGTGGAGAAGCACCCTTGGGGGCAGGTAGCTCAGACTGCGAGGTATTCCTCTCTGCCTTGACCACTTTGTTGCCAGAGCTTAGTATGTGCTGGATGTGGACAGTGATGCTCAGTGCCCATTACCTAGTCTCCCCCTAAAGAGATCTAACATAGGAAACATAATTTATTTTCAACTTTGGAGTTTAGTTGTTGCCTGGAAGTAGGGTGTTAGAGGCAGAAACAAGGGCCCTAAGACCTTTCTTGATTCATGCTTTTTATAAAAGAAATTATGTTTCATAATCATAATAGCTGATAAGTTGAATATGTACTGTATTTTAGCCATGGTGCTGAGATTTTTAAAAACTCCTCTGAAGTGTAATTATTCACCCCATTTTTCAGAAAAGAAAATTAAGGTTTATCACATGGTTCAATTGTAGCAGGGTCCTGATTTTAACCCACGCCTCTCTGACTCCACATTGTGAACTTTTAATCATTTATCTGATAGTGGACTGTAATGTAGTAGCTAAGAGAATTAACTCAGTAGCCAAGGGTTTATTTACTAAAAATTAGTGGAATCCAATTTCTAGTTACTTTGTCAGAAACCCACAACCCTTATGTGTTACCTGGGAATGGCCTGAAGAGGGCATCACTGTAACACTGCTTCTAGAGTTAAGTGCTAATGCCTAATCGGGATATATTTTGAAGCAAAAAAGGTCTATTTGAAAAGTTGAGGTCAACTACTTGCAGTAAGATTGATTTGGGCAGTAGTATTTGTAACTTCAAGTACAATCTCTAGGATGTAAATTAGACAAATAATATCTATTTTGCCTTGACCAGAATAAATAGGTCTTAGTTGGGTGAATCAAGGTGGAAAAACATAAAAAATCAAAAAAAGAAAAAAAATCAGGTATAGTCACAGGAAGAAAAACAGTAAGAGTCACCAGTTTATTATTGTCAGTTTTAAGACCCATCCTTGTCTGTGGTAACTGTGAATATAAAATCAAGAGAAATACTTCAGTGTTACAAAGTATTTGGTTTTTCAAAACAAGTCATAATGAAGGGCTACTATGTGCCTGTGTGTGTGCCGGTATTGTCCCGCCTGCTGTGTTCTACCTGACCGCCCGCATCATGACAGCACTGTGAGATAGGGCCCGTGGCCCTTGTTTTACGGCATGAGAGCGAGGCACAGGCTCAGTAACTTCCTCAGAGCCAGGAGAGTAGTCAGTGGCAGAGCCACAGCTGGAGCCAGCTGCCGGGCCCTGACTCCGTATCCTTAGCCCAAACACCTCTGTTCCCATTGTTACCAGGCTCCCCGGGTTATCATGAAGTAGCGTCTCACACAATTTTCTTTTTGTTTTGATACTGGGAGTTGCACTCCTGACCTTGCACTCCTGAGCTATGTCACCGGCCCATACAGTTTTCTCTTGTATATGGTGGTGCTGGACTGGATCCACGGGAGCTGTACATTCGCCTCCTCACACTTGCCACGAACTTGCTGACAGTGTCTAAAAAGCACTTAATTTCCATTTTAAAACTATTTCTGTTTATTAATAAATGGAATTTGAGTATCAAAAGAAAAATTTTGAAATGTGGATACAAAATCTAGGAATACTTTCTCTTGCTCTATGAAAATTTCAGCTAGGCATGGTGGCACACGCCTATAACCCCAGCACTAAGGTGTCTGAAGCAGGAGGTGCATGCAAATTTGAGGGCAGCCAGGGACACAGAGTGAGTCTAAGGTCAGCCTGAACTGCATACATAGTGAGACCCTGTCTAAGAAAAATTATTAGGTATGGATTTGGTAACAAGGTCATTCTGACAATATAGTTTGTTAAAATTAGATATTAGAAATTTCGAGGGGCTTGTAGGTTAGCTTAGTTGTTTAAGTGCCTGCTTGGGCAAACCCTGTCAGGCCCAGCAGACCGTGATTTGATCCCCAGCTCCACATGCCTGACCAGACGCACCCTTAATGCAGCCTGAGCCAGCCCTCCCTCCCCCTAAAAAAATCCTTGGGGCTGGGGCTATAGCTCAGTGGCATAATTGCCTGCCTGGCAAGCACAAGGTCTTAAGTTCAATCCCCAGTACCACAAAAATGAAATAAAATAATTTCTTTTAACTTTTGCTAGTTACTTGAAACCCAGAGAGAGAAATTAAAATAACTTGATAACTTGATAAGCATAGTACATGATATTGTGAATCGTGTCCTTTCAGTGGCATTTGTTAAAATGGTGGGGAGAAGGGTCTGGAGGTCAGGCTGTCTTGAACCCAGACCTCTGATCACGTCACAGATCTCTGGGAATGAGCCCCTCGTGAGACCCCGTGTCTCCTAGCACAAACTCAGGGGTGATGGGAGCAGCCTGTATGGAGCAAAGACACAGTTGTGTCCCTCAGGGAAGTCAAGGTGAGGCAGAACTTCCTCTCAGGAAGCAGGAACCTAGGTGTTACTTCTGCTTAAAGTAATTTACTTGTCTGTTGTAAACATATGCTCATACACTGCTTATGCATTCAAGGTGTCACCCTGTTTTGTAATCATAGAAAATGCCCTTTTTTCCTCTAGGAGTCTGGAGCACCTATTCTCACAGATGATGTTAGTTTGCAAGTATTTATGGATCACCTGAAGAAACTTGCTGTGTCAAGTGCTGCTTGATATGCTCGGCGTGTTTGGACACCTCAGGAGATGAAATAACATCGCAGTTACATTTGTTCTTTTTTCACATTTTTCATTTCTTTCTTTTTTTCTTTTCTGAGACAGGGTTTCACTATGTAGCTCAGGCTGGCCTTAAACTTGCTGGGTAGTCCATGCTGGTCTCAAACTCATGATCTTCCTGCCTCAGCCTCCTAAGTGCTGGGATTATAGGTGTGCACCATTGTACCCAGTTCCCTTTTCCATGTTTCTATGGAAACCAGTAGATATCACTTTAGACTTTTCTTGGAATCAGTATGGTTTGAGATGACATTTCCAAAAAAATGTTCACGTTTGTAGATTGAGTTGAAATATAATGAGAGCATTGAGAACAAACCTGTTTTACTTGCCACAGTATTAAAACTGGTTTTAGAAATTTGGAGTCTATATAAGTTATGTTTAAGAATAAAAACTGTCTGCCTTATACTGCAGATATAACTTATTTGTATATTGCAGACAAATCAAAAGTGGCACTGAATATCTCCTGACCTTTTAAAAACCTATTTAATTTTAGCCAGAAAGGAACAAATCAATAGTAATGATAAATGTGAACATTTTTGCTTATATGTTCAATATTTTTCTACAATTTTTCAACACTTACGTATACCCTTTTTCTGTACTTACTCTGTTAAGATGAATTTTTGTGATTTGCTTAGGGATTATCTGACTTTATAATGGTAATTTTCAAGAAGATAATATCATGTTTTTTGGTTGTTTGGAAAAATTGTTTGAAGATGAAAAAAATATTAGGTGGGTCAGAGCTAATAATCTTACAACTGACAGTAAATGTGAAATTCTACCAAGTCCGCAATGTATGTAACTAACACAACACTTCAAAAAAGTGATAGACAATATTTGGTAGACAATAAAGCGGTTTGTCAGAGTACAGAAAGAAGGCCTTTCTAGTAAAATGAATATTGTAACTGCTAAACCAAAATTGGTTTTCATTACAAGGTTTTGATGTCTCCCCTTTTTCCGAGTTAAATTTTACATTATATCCTTCAGTATTTTAACACTACATTGGGAACTTACACAATTACTTTTATTCCCCCTGCCTCCTTTTTATGAAATTTATTAAGTTGTGGTTCTTACTGAAACAGTATTATGTAGTGTTTGTTTAATTGTGTCATGTGGTGATACTATTTTATTTTGATTTATTCATTGGTGTCATTTTTACATTTAAGGTTTACTTATAGCAAATATGTTTACATTGCTAAAGCCAGATATGATTTGACTATGAAATTCGCATATCAAGTGCTGAACTAAGAGGTGGTGCTCTGGTACGTGCTTAGAGAGACAGTTTTGACAATTGTATTCCAATGAACACAATCACAGGATGCTGAAACAAACTTGTAATTGTTTATATTATATTCAGTTAGCTTAACTTTGCTCCATTTTTTTGAATTGAATTGTGCTAGACCAAAATATCAATAAAATGTGCTTTTCTCTGTTTTTCTGGTTATTTTTAAATTCTAGCAAAGCTTGAGAAGCCTAATGTAAAATTTAGAGCATTTAAACCTCTTTTTGATTGACAACATAATTGTCATATTTGTGTGATACAGTGTGATAATTTGATATATGATCACAATGTGTCATGATCAGATGGGGTAATTGGCATTTTTATCCCTTAAATCATGCATTATTTCTTTGTGTTAGCAGTCTGTGGACTCCTGTCTTCTGGCTCTTTATAAAATATATAACTGTTTTAACTATTGTCACCCTACAGTGCTATAGGACCCTGGAACTTATTCCCACTGTGTAGCTGTGATTTAATGCCTGTTATCTGGCTTCCTCTGTCCCTCCTTCCTAGTTTCTTTTTTGTTTTTTTGAGGCAGGGTCTTACTATGTAACTCATGCTGGTCTTGAACTCACTACATAGCCCAGGCTGACATAACTCCAAATGATCCTCCTGCCTCTGCCTCCACAGCTCTAGGGTTACGGGCATGCTCCACTACACCTGGCACTTCTTCTTAGTTTCTGGTGACCACACTTCTACTCTAATTCCCTGAAGTCAGCCTTTTAAGGTCTCGTATAAAGGTGGAATGTGTGGTATTTTTATCCTTTAGTTTATTTTACTTACAATAATGTCCTCCAGTTCCATGCGTGTTGCTACAAATGACAAGATTGTATTTTTTTATGGTATTGATATATATATATATATATATATATATATGCACATACATGCACAATAACAAAATTAAAGCATTTAAAATCTATTAATAGACCTTAAAAAGTTACTCATTTTGAAAATAACTGTTGGGCTAGAATTTATGTATCATACAATTAACTCATTTTTTAAATTGTATTTACTTAGAAGCATTCAGAATGTCAACAAAATTGTTGCAACTTTTTTTTTCTTGCAATTATAGAGTGGCATTCAGTTAACAGAACAACAATTATTTCATATAAGCTGCATCAGAAACAACTGAAGATGAAAAACTGTTTCCATATATAACTAATTTGTGCTGTGCACCAACAAGAACCTGTTGTAAATTTCCATGCCAATTTACAACCCCCATACTGTACCAGGCACGGTTAGTGGCTGCTGAAAATACCACCAGGACAGGGCTATGTAAAGACAGTCAGTAATGTGTTAACTATTCGAAAAAGATTGGATAGTTTAAAAACATTTTACACAGCCTTATATTTCAATTTTCCTCAGCGAAGTACAGAGTTGTCCAGTGCCCATCTGGCTCTTACTTGCCCTGGCGCTGTTCTCTGTGGAGCTCAATGTACTGCCAATTAACTCATTTAAAGCATATAATTCAGTAGCATTTAATATTTTCATAGAGGTCTGTAACCAGTTATTTGTTTGTATTTTGGGGAAGGGTCTACAAGGTATTCAGGGTCTCACACTAGATCGGACTCATAGTGATCCGCCTGTTTACAGCTTCCCAAGAGCTGGGATTACAGGTGTGTGCCACCACGCCCAGTCTCAATTGCTGTATGAGCACACCCTGGGGGTGTGGCCTGCATGGCAGGCCTGGGGATTGAATCCCTGGCCCCTGCATCTGCTTGCAGGTGCTTTAATCTGCTGAGCTATTTGGCCGGCTCTTATTTATTTAAACTGGGAATCAAACTCAGGACCTCATGCTTGCCAAGCAGGCGTTGTGCACTGAATTTTTTTTCTTTAAGGCAGGGTCTTGCTGTATAGCAAGTTTGGAAATGGCTTGTATAGCCTACACTTGAGTTTGATCATCTCAAACTCATGGTGATCTTCCTGCCTTAGCCCCCTAAGCACTGGGATTATGGATTACAAGTGTGCACCAGCTGGACCACTCTTATCAACTTCAAAATACCTGTTCCTTTTCTGTAAGCCAAGTTTATTTTGGAGTTGATGTTTTGGACTGAGGGAAGACCCAGAGATGAGACGCCTGCCCCATTGGCCCTGTAAGAATGCCTTGCTTCTGTGGAGTTGTAGGTATTTAACCTGGGCCTGGCCTTTGCTTCTAAATCGTCACAGCTGAAGGTGCTGAAGTGCCACTGTACACCCGCAGTTAAGGAGGAACAGATGTTCATTGTACCTTCCTGGGCCACCATTGCAGAGAAATTGTTCTGATCATTTTTGTGTGTACTTTAGTTATTAGTAAATTACTAGTCATTCAGTAGACTGTTAAAAATGCTTAACCTGTTGTCTCAGTCTGTTTGGGCTGCAGTAACAAAATGCTTTAGACCAGATAGTTTAGATATCCAACAGGTTTACTTGTTGCAATATTGGAGGCCAAGAAGTCAAGTGCAAGGTGCCACCAGAGTGGGTGTGGGGAGGGCTCCCTGCTTCACAGATGACCCTACTTGCTGTATCTTCATGCAGCAGAAGGAAGGAAGGAGGGGGCAAGGGGTGACCAGTTTTCTTTTGTAAGGCCTCTAATCTCATTGATGAGCACAGATCCCTCATCTCCTAATGAGCCTTCTAAAACATCCACTTTTTTTTTTTTTTTTTTTTTGAGCCACAGTCTCATTATATGTTGTCCAGGCCATGCTTGAGTTTGCAATTCCTCCTGCTTCAGCCTTCCAAATGTTGGGGTTATAAGTAGGAACAAAACCTCACTTCCTAATACCACATTGGAGATTAAATTTTAGCATATGATTTTTGAAGAGAGTGAAATATTCAGACTATAGAACGCATGAAAGAATTCAGGTATACAAAATTATCTTCCAAAGTAAGAGGTAAAGATACCATATTACAGTTTCACCTGTATGCCCAGGCTTTTAGCAGCATAATTCATAATACCCGAATACCAGAAGCAACCTACATGTCCATCAGCAGATGAATGGATAAAAATGTGATGTTTATACTCACTAGAGTATTACCTTGCTATATAAAGAGATAGACATGAGCCATGTGTAGGAAAATAGATGTATTGAGACTGTAGTGTGAAGTGCAACAAATCAGGCTCACCAACTCAAGTAGGGAGACAGCTCTTTCTCAAATGAGTGTAAAAGATAGAAGAAGGGAAAGTGGATGGCTAGTGCCAATCTGCACTATGTTCGTGTACTAATGCTATGCGAGGAATGTAAGCATTATTCCTACAAACATACTAATAAAAAATCACATTCAGAATTCATTCTTGAATCTACCACTTTTATTGGCCTTGTCTCTAAAAATGACCTTAGACTTTATGTTTATATGGTATTTTGATGTAATATAATAAAAATGTTCTTTATTGGCTGATTCCAAAGCTGAACTGACAGTTTTCTGTCTAGTTCTCTGCTTCATAAATTTCCTGCTCTTATTCCTCAAGCAGAGACTGCATCTAATGAATGCTTAGTGTCCAGTTGAGACCAGAAAGCAGAGAATCGGTGTCAGTCTTACTGTCCTCACTGACTCTAGTAACTTGATCTGCCTCTCTAATGGATTCCTAATCCATTCATTGCTCTGCACCTTGCTGCCATTCTCCATTCAGCATGTGTCACCCGGGTAGGTGAAGTCCCCCTCTGGCCAGTCTGCTTTACTTACCTCTCCCCAGTTCACTTTTCACACTGCAGTACAGAGCTGACTCTGACACACAGATCTAACCATGCCATTTCCCTTTGCTCTCGCAGGAAACTCTTAATGGTCACACTGTGTACCATTCCTCCAACAGCCTCTGGCTCTCCCTGAGACCAGTGGTCCAAAAGACACGGTTGAAGAAGTGGTCCTCCGAGTCTATTTAAGTATTAATGTTAGGTGTGTGGCATTTGAGATGTATGTAGTGGCAATGTAAATATGAGTGTATATGTATATATCCACACAGGTATATATACATAACAACTGTACCCATTAATAGGGTATGGGTTGAAAATCCAATCCATGTCTTCCAGGTGTAATATTCAGGATAATTAGCATTTCTCCTTATCACTTCTATGTATTTGAAGGCAGAGGAAGTGGAGGCTGGGAGAAGCTGTATGGACCAAAGCCATCTGGTTCTCTGATAATGTCACTAAAACAAAGCTGGGCAGCTTGTAACGCAGGTGTTTGTGGGTTAGAAAAATGCTTGCAATCAGGCATCGTAGACCCACCTTATCCACAGAACTGTGCCTTTCTGACCTGCAATAACCAGGACATTTCGTCAGGTAAAAGGGTGTTCGAGAGCCTGGTGGTCGGAGTCTCTTTCTTGTGAGCCATGTGCCTGCTGTGCTAGAGAAGCTTCCGTTTCTGATCTGTGTCAAGATCCTGCTCAGCTGCCCACAGAGGGAGAAACATCCGTACGACAACCTGACGTATACGTTTTACCTCTTCTGGGGACGGCACTGTGTTTTGACAAAACAGAGAAATCTATAAATCAGTGATTTTCCTAGGGATTAGAGCTTTTTTCTAAGAAGAACAAATCTGGAGATTACTTATGAATAAAGATTACTTAGGAGTAAAGATGTCACTTTGAAGTAATAAGTCTACTTCAATAGAGAAGGATTAAAAAATTAAAGATCATATTTCACTTTTGTGGCTTCAAGGCAATTTAAAAATAACTTAATCTGCTGAGGTTTAGGCATTAATCTTAATAAAATCCTTGTGAAATGCTGATGTGTTAAGTATTCTGTATGTTTGAAAACATTTGTGTGGAAGCAAAACAATTTTTTTTCAGTATCAGGAATCAAACTCGGGACCTTGCACTGGCCAGGCAGGTGCTGTGCCATTGAGCTAGATCCCTGGCCCGAGGAGTGAAATTTGACAGAGATGAGAGAATCAAAGAGTAGTGCTTCACAACCTTGAAATTAAATCTAGCAATGGTGATAAAATCATTCTGACCCAGTAGGTCTGAGGTTTTGCATTGATAGAAGTGCTGCTACTTCTGGACCACAATTTAAATGGCAATGCCAGCTAAGAGCAACGTTGCTGTGTTTGGGGAATATGCATAGAAGTTCAGCAGCCAGTGCATCTTGGAATCAAGACACTCAGGTTTGAAAATGTTAAGCATGGAATTGATAGCTGAAGTGATGGGACTAGATTGCTCTTTAATTATTTACTAGGTACTAATGAGGTAGGTGGGGAGCACAGTCAGACAACCTTTTTCCATTGAGCATGGATTATGCAATTATGTATGAGCTCATAATGTTTAACTCTGAAATTCTATTTTTAATGAGAACATTAAGCCTACTGATTTATCAAATACATCTTTTTCGGCAAGGGAATATTTCTATTAAAAAGACTATCAAGTTGCTGAAATATTAATGGTAGCACAATATCATGTAACTGAAAAGAATGTTTTCATTGAATTCTGGATTTTGAACCCAGAATTAGGGTCTGTATTTTAATAGAGATATTGAGAAAATAAAATCCCAAGTAATACATTATGAAATGGTGCAATTAATAATTGCTTTTAATTAAGAAACATTCCTAGTTTTATAGGACAGTGAAAAAGATTGCCAAGCCATATTACAAAATGATTCTAATTAGGTATTTCTATTAATCGGCTAGCTAATCATTATGGGGTAGACAGGTATGCCTCCACTTGGAGTTAGAAAGATAAATTTGATGGCCTCAGAGAAGACTTTGGACCATAGACTTATGCTTTATCGTTGCTGTGTAGCAGCTCTTCTCATTTTCTGATGTATTTACAGTGGGCTTTTTCAATTATATTTACCGAGCATCCCACACACTCCTGCTACAGCTCACGGTAAATGGCTCTAATGATTAGTTTTCACCTGGAGTTTAAAGTCCAGCGTGGTTTCAGGGAGCCAATTTTTTTTTTTTTTTAATTGCAGGTTCTCTTTCAAGAGTATGCAGCACGCCTCTGTGCTTACTCAGCCTATACGGTGACAGCTACATCTGCTTCTCCATCTGCAGCTTTCGGATCTGTCGGTATCATTAGCTGTCTGTAACACTTATGAACCTGCCTGTATTCTGCTGAAGGCGACAAACTGGAGTGAAAAATCTCTGTTTTCTACAAAACCTTCCCTGAAACAATAGTTTCAGGGACTGATGGGAGGATTTCTTATGATAAAATAGATTGAAGGTGAATCTATCTATCTATCTATCTATCTATCTATCTATCTATCTATCCATCTATCTATCTATCTCCTACTTTTAAGAGAAATACAATCACAAAATGTCTTTGACTACAGCCAGTCAAGCCGACTGGGTCTCCTCCTGGTGGTGCCCAGTATGCGCTGGCTGTGCACGGCAACCTCCTCGGTAGTGTACGCAGTCGGTTGCTTGTATGGGCTGCCCTAAGGGGTCTTGGAGGCACTTTTGGTGGATATTTGTGTATCTGATCTCCTGCCACCCCTGAACCAGGCTCCAGATGGGCATGTGGGGTGCCTTTGGGAAGCCCCAGGGCACAGTGGCAAGGGTCCACATTGGACAGGTCATGTCTATCCACACCAAGCTGCAGAACAAGGAACATGTGATCGAGGCCCTGTGTAGGCTCACATTTAAGTTCCCTGGCAGCCATAAGATCCACATCTCCGGAAAGCACGGCTTTACCAAGCTCAATGCAGATGAATTTGAAGACATGGTGACTGAGGAGTGTCTCATTCCTAATGGCTGTGAGGTGAAATGCACCCGGAATTGTGGTCCCCTGGACAAGTGGCAGGCCATGCACTCCTGCAGGTCCACTGTGTCACCTCCACCTGAACAAGTTCATCGCTAAATGTTCTCTCTGCAAAAAAAACCTAAAACCAAAAAAAAAAAAAAAAAAAGTGTTTGATAATGGTGTAGCTAAGCCATATGTTATATGATTCTGTTTCCTTAATAGATAGAATCCATTGATAAATAAAATCTAAAATTATGTGTGCAGAAAACTCCAGCACATTAACATAAGATACAAGATGTGTCAATCCTTATGCCTGGGGCCTCCCACTTGTAGTTCTGCTGAGCTCAACGGCCAACCTCAGTCTATCTCTTTTTAAAAGTTTATTTATTTACTATTTAACTTTATTTATTTGATACAGGATCTCACTATGCAGCTCAGACTCATAGTGATCCTCCTGTTTTTAGCCTCCCCAGTGCTAGGATTGCAGGCACGTTGCCACGCCTAGACTCAGGGGCCGGCTCAGCGTGCCTGTGCGCAAGACTGGTGCAGCATGTGGTGCTGGGGATTGAACCCGGCCCCTGCACTTGCCTAGGCAGGTGCTTAGAAACCTCTGAACTATCTGCTCGCCCCTCAGTCTGTCTCTTAAGAGGTGGAATCAGGTTTCCCTAGGGCAGCTAGTCCCCAGACTTAGCACAAAACATTTCTATGTTAAGGGTAAAAATAATTCAGTAGGAATTATACCTTTATTCCTTGAAAAAATGAATAAGAAAATCCAGAGCGTGCCAGCTGTTCTGTAACAAGAGGAGAAAGGAAAAACAAAGAAACAAGAAGTGAGAGAGGTAAGTTGGTGATGGGGCCTGTGCAAAGGTTCACTATCTCTTGTTGCTTGGAGAAAGTTCTTCAGTGCCCTGCATCTTGAGCCATGGCTCTTTCTGGACTCTGCATCCTCAACTCCAAATGCACTCACTTAGTAGCATAACTCCTCCTGATTTGAGAAGAATTATATTTACAAAGTTCATGGTGACCCTGATGATTTACCTTTTGACCTGTACGTATTTCAAAGAATAGGGAATTGGTGTTCAGAAAACGTCGGAGGTGAAATGCGTGGCATGCTGGGCAGTGTCCAGCAGTGCACTGCTCTTCCTCATCTGTCCACTCAGAGCAGAACAGGTGCATCCAGGCTTTGTGTCTTTCTAACAATATCCAGCGATATTGGGTATTTTGGATTTCTAGCTTTCTGAAAACAGCAGAGGCCCTGAACAAGTAATGGGAGTTGATTGTGATTCACCACACAGCTTTGAGACTTGTGCATGGGCTGAGCAAGGATTATGGGTGATAATTATGAAAGCTTATGGTTTTTCTTCCACACTCTCAGCCCCTGTGAAAGCTCTTATGTTTTGAGCCAAGTACGGTAGCACTTGCCTACAATTCCAGCACCCTGGCAGCCTGGGAAATTTAGTGACTTATTGAGACTCTGCCTCAGAATCAAAATGGGCCAGAGATGTAGATCCCTGGGTTCAGTCCCCAGTACTCAAATATAAGGCTGTTATATTTTTGTTTTCAACTATCCCTTTAAACTGATGAGTGAAAGCCTTTCGCTTGAGTGCCTGAACTCTTATTTTCTTGAGTGTACACTTTTTTCTTGTAAATATATCTTGTCCATACCTCTCACTAAATGTTCCAGACAGTTCTTAATCTGTGCTAAAGTGAACCTATAACCTTTCCCAGGGTGTGGTGAGTCCAGGTTCCCCATGTCTGCCTTGGAAACCTTGGTCCCAGTCTGTCTGGGGATATTTCCTTTGGTGAGTCAGCTCCAGGCAATCAAGAGGCATCAGGACTTAATTTTACTAAGTTGAGCTGAAATCTTTGCATTTTTCTTCTTTCACTTCTCTAATACTTTGCCTCTTTGATGCATCGCTTATTTCTCTCTCTCTCTCTCTCTTTCTCTCTCTCTCTCTCTCTCTCTCTCTCTCTCTCTCTCTTAGGGATTGAACTCAGTACCTTCTGCTTGCCAGGTGCTGAGTTACTGAGCTATATCCCTGGCCCTCTCTACCCCCTCCTCCCTCTTGCTTTCTCTTTTCTCATTCTCTTGCATTCCTCTCTTATCACCCTCCCATGTCCCTCTATTTCTGCCTCTCTCCAAACCTCTATAGCTTCAGGGTTTTCTTCTTCAGCAGCAAGAGGTTCCTAAGTCCCTAGAAAATGAGTGTGCTTACAGCTGTGACCACTGAGGATACGCGACACTTGCTCCTGCTAAGCAGAAACAGGAAGCAGTGTCCACCGTGAGTAGTATCCACACCAGCTACTCCTTCAGATCAGCATACCCAATTCCTGGGGCAGGGTGAACTAAGATTTGCTTACCAGGTAGTGCAAATAAAGACTCATCCAGTGTCTCAAGCAAAGCGTCTCTCATACCTATCCTGACACAGTGGAGAGAACTGGCCCCAAGGTGACACCTAAGGACCCTATCTCTGCAAGTCACGCATATCTTTGGGTCTTGAACACTTAAGATAAAAGGAGACCCTTCAAAGTACTTCTTTAATACTCTTTCTTTTGCTCTCCCTCACCGCTCTTCCTTTCAACAGCTGAAAGGCATAAGCTTGGCCCACCTAAGTCCATGCCTCCCCCTTCTGGGTGGTGGGGGACATATCTGACGCTGTGAAGATGCGAATGGCCATCTAGGTGACAGTGGGTGCTGCGTGGGAGCTTGGTAGAGCCTGTGTACTCCAGTGGAGAAGCAGCCCATTGGTTTTCCTTCCTTTTTTTCCTCTCCTCAAAAGATGTTCCTCTCCTGTTCTGAGGCTTTCATGTGCCTGGAAACTCCAGTCCTTTAATTTTTTGTGCTATCATTTAATGGGGAGAGCTAGGGAGCTAGACGGATGGGGAGAACTGGGGGACATTTCCTCTGTCTGGGTGTGAGAGGCACCCTCCCTTTGCACGTGCCTGTGTACTGCTGCTAACAGTGAGGAAAGTAGGTCATCCTCAGGTGAGTGGGTTGACAGAGGCCTGAATCCAGCTAGTTACTTTTCTACCTGACCAGCAGCTCCATGCTAGGCTGAGGAAGAGAGGCAGAAACATTCCTGTCCTCTAGGCTGCGCTTTAGAGATGCCTGCCCCTCCCCCATCCCACAGTGGCTATCACCAGAACCTCCTGGTACTCTTCTAGGACCTCTCTGGGTGGCTTCTCTAATGCTGGCTTGCTTCCTTCCTCCACTATGTTGTGTTTTAATGATAACTTCAGCCTCATATTACCCCCTATTGGAAACTGGATGTGTTTTTTAATCATTATACACAGAAACATCTCTAGACTTAAAAAAAGTCCATGAGTCCTTTATGGATGTTATAGATGCCTAGATATAAAGACTTGGTGATATTTTAAGTAAAACTCAGCCTTTAAGTATGATTTTTCTGATTTATTATGAAAGTTGCAAACAAGCTTTTGACACTTCCAGGGGCTCAGTGCCTGGAAGTAGGTGTACTCCGGGGCAAGGACGCTTATTTTCCTTTCTCTGTGACACTGACGGGATTGGCCGGTGTTGCCTTATCCTGAGGTCGATTTCTGTGCCACTGGCAGGAAAGGCTGAGCTAGTCATGATGGAAAGTTGGGGTGAGTTGCTGGTTGGGCAGTTGGGGTGGGCAGTGGGTGCTGTCTGCATCCAGGAAAGCTGGGGGAACTGCTTCTGCAGTCTGACCTTGAGGGAAAAGTCGGGGCAAGTTGCCCCCAGATGGAGAAACTCAAAAGCATCCTGCCTTCTTCCTTTGTCTCTTTTCAAAACTTACAATGGAGATCTTAAAAGATGCATGTATCTATTTTTTTTTTTTTTTTTTTTTTTGGTACTGGGGATTGAACTCAAGATCTTGCACTTGCTAGGCAATCGCTTATTCTACCGAGCTATCACCCCGGCCCAGATGCACGTATCTTAAAAGATAATGGGTGACTCAACACCTCTCCCCACAACGTTACCTGAAGGTTGTATTTCACGAGATGGGAGCAGTTTAAAAAGGATTTAAAGAAAATTCAATTTTCTCTATTTCTCTAAATGTTAAAGAGTAAAAAAGACATGGCCTCAAACTTGACTTTATAATGAAAGAGGGAAAATGAATAAAGATTCCATGGAGCAATCTGCACCTCTTCTCTCCCTCTTTTGACTCTTATTAGTAGTTGAGCTCTGGAGTTAGCTGTCTTACTTACTTTTCTCATTACTGAGACAAAATTCCTGACCCTCAAAGTTAGGGGAGGGAAGGTTTATTTAGCTCACAGTTTGTAAGGTTTCAGTCCACAGTCGGCTGGCTCCAAGGCAGGGTAGCATCACTGAGAAGGAGTCCATGGCAAAGCAGGAAGCAGCAAGCAGCAGCAGCAGCAGCAGCAGCCCTCCTCTGTCCCTTCATATCCTACCCAGGCTGTAAACCTATTGATTAGGCCACTCACACCAGATGCGGCACCCTTAATCCCAATATCAAACTTTCAGTCTCAGCATCATATACCCTAGATTCAGCTGACTCCCCAGAGCCCCACCTATGACCTAATGAGGCTTTAGGGAGGCATCTAGATACAAGTCATAGCACTAACAGAAAAAAAAACAACATCTGTGTATTCCAAGTGGTTAGGATAGATATATAGTTGCATTCTCTTCATGAATAGAATGATTTGTTCTAATGGTGTTTGTAAATAGGATCACAAGTCCACTTCTTGTACAGCAATTAACCACTAAGAAGAA